AAGACGCGAGGTTGGAGGGGGGGGGGGGGGGGGGACAGGGGACGGGACACAAAATGGGAGGGCACGCACCGACCCCATGCAAGCTGTGCCCAGTGCCAGCAGCTTCGGCGTCGGCTAACCAGGCCCGTCTCGGTGATGGGGCTGCGGTAGCTGGTCGAATCCCTGATAACCCTTGGCTCAACCTGGGTTTGGATGCGGAGGCAGGTCCCCTCCGACAGCAGGAGGTTGTGCTTGTCGGGGGCTAATCCGGACGTCTCGGCAGGTGGCTGGCATCCGCGGGGCCCGCCGCTCGTGGCAGGGGGGGCCGTCGCTCGGTATCTATTAAAAGCAGGCCAGGGGTTTATATTTAACTCAGCGCTGTCTGCGTGGTGGAAAATAGATGAGGGGCATTTGAGGAGGGGGGGGATTTTTACAGGAGCCTCTGTCAGACGGGTTTTGGCCTCCATCTGGCTAGGCAGCGCGGGCGGGATCGCTGCTGCCCGTGCCTCCGGTTTACGGTCTCATGGTAAATCCCCGCTTGGGTGAAGTATAATGGCCAAAAGCGATATTGGCAGTGCAAATCCAAGTACTTAGGAGTGGATGAAATCCCTGTCATCTTTTTAAACGCTTTGGCTAGAAGGCAGCATCACCTCCTTGCTCTTGGAAAGGCGGAAGGAATGTGGTGTCGGTCGAGGGACAGGGTTTGCTACGCCGCAGAGATGGCCTGCCCAGTGCTGGGGTGAAAGTCACCCTTTTAGGTCAACCGGCAGCTCCCGTTGCCCCGCCAAAGCAGCAGCACAGGGCCGTGGCTGGGGAGCGAGGAGCGGAGCAGCGCAGCCAGGGGTAGGGTTCCACTCTGTCTCTCTCTGACCCCAAGCAAAGCTTTTTTAACCCATTTTTGCATTGCTTCTCCCTGGGAAGCCCAGAGGGGCCGTGGTGCATCCAAACACAGGACGAGCCATGCAGGTCACTAAATAAGGAGGCATGTTTTAGCCGAAAAAGATGCTACAGTAGGTACAGGGGAGGCTGGGGCCCCCTGCCTAGGCTGTTTTGGGAGGAAAGGAGCAGGCGGAGTGTACAAAGTGGCGGATGTTTGCTTGGCAGATGAAAGGCTTCGCTCAGAAGTAGGTCAGATCACGAGGGCCCGTGAAGCAGCGGCAAGAGCGGGCTCAGCCCTCCCGGATCGGGGTGATAATGGGGATTCAGCACCTCCCAGGAGGAATTAGCAAGTAAAAGAGCCGCAGGAGCGAAGTGGGAGGGGGACACCAGTTCAGGGAAGTCAAAGCACTTGGTTAAGGCTTCACCGTTTGCGATGGCTGAGAAGTGCCTCCCCGTTACGTGGTGCAGAGCTTGCCACGGTCGCGGCATTTGGGTCCACCAAAGCATGCTGCCAGCCCCGTCAGGGGCGTGTGGGGAGCTGACGGGGGTCAGGGAGGGGGAAGGTGCGAGAAGGCATCCCACAGAGCTGGGAGGACCAAGGAGCCCTCGAGGCCAATGTGAGAGGGAAGCCAGGCTCTTCCGATGGGTGGGAAGGAGCCTTTCCCAGGTACCCTCCTTGGGCGTGTGAGCATCCCGCCCTCTGCATGGCATTTGGCAAGCCCCAAAGCCATCCCCTTCAGCAGTGACTGCATCTGTGAGGATGCCTGTAGGCATCATGGGGACGGTGTGGGCTGGCAGCTAAGGGACGAGACCCAACAGAGCAGCGTACATCTCCCATATCTCTCCCAATACCTTCCTTTCTCCCTCTTCATGCCTGACCTTTCTCCTAAGCTTGATGTCCCTGCTCTCAGGCAGGACCAGGGGATAGCAGGTCATGGAAAATAGCGGGTACTTCTCCTCCTGACTCCCCATGACCCTCTCCCCTTATGCCTTTCTCCCAGGCTGGCTGAAGGACAGAAAGGACTGAAAGTGGAGAACAAAGCCTTCGTCTCCAAACTGACTTTCTTCAACGTCTCCGAGCAGGACTACGGCAACTACACCTGCGTAGCCTCCAACCAGCTAGGAAACACCAACGCCAGCATGATCCTCTACGGTGAGTAGTGCCGAGGGAGCTGGCTGGGGAGGGGGCACGGCTTAACGGTGAGACCGCCGACGTGCGAGACACGGGAAGGGTCTCTCTTGTCTTTTGGGGGAAAGGTGCGTTTGCTGCTGATCCTTTCTGCCCCGGCACGTGGGTCGGAGGTCATGGTGAGCCCAGGGAAAGTGTGAAAGCCTCCAAACCTAACTCCTGACTCAGGCCCCATGTCTGCCACTGCTCTCAGATGTTTGGCACCGTGTTCAGGGTCCGCTGTCGATGCAAAGTTAGGACTTGGCTGCAGGTCTCCATCTTCTCGCTCTGACAAATACCTAGGAGAGTCTCTGTTTCAAGGCATCCTCCTGTGTTGATCGGTGGGAGGGGAGATGGCGCTCAGGGTCGTCGCGGCAAACCTTCAGGACCACGCTGCAGGCTGCCATGCGGTGCACCCCGTGGAATAAACGGCCCCCGTGGCTCCGCCACCTTCCAGGTTGCGTTTTCCGCTCCTGCCAAGCAGATATATTCTTACTGACGGTGCCAGTAAGAGAGAGGTGGGAAGGTGCAGAGGGCGGGGAGCGGGAGCAGCTTTGTGCCCTCATCCGGGGGCTGTTTTCTCTGTGTGCCGGAGCTGTGGTGACAGCGATGCATCCATCTGACACCGCTCACGGCCGGGAAGGGCTGTAATTGCTCGACACATTTGTCAAGCCTCTTCAGGCAGCAGCAGAGCCAGAGCAGAGGGCCGCGCTCCCCAGATCCCTCTCACAGCCACTGAGAGCCGGAGATAGACGGCAGACCTTGTCCCCGGCCACTGCCGTGGGGATATTTCCCTGCCAGGGATATTGGGGCGGGTGGTCCTCACTGCTGAACCGTATGGGAGAAGCGGGGCTTGGAGACCTCCGTCCTCTCCTGACGTCACCCCGACATTGTCTTCCTCCTTGCCACCCTCCCTCCCCCTGGCAGACCCACCCCATGGCGAGCGCTGACCGTGGGTGACGTTAATACCAGTCTGTGGTAAGTGAACCACGGGGCGGTGCGGAGGTTGGCGTTAATCACCGCTAAGAGCGTTTGATGGAAAGCACCGGTTTCCTACGGCCTCGAGCCATCCTGGTATTGCAAACCCTTTCCTAGCGTGTACAAAGGATTTAATTAAACCCACAGAGACCGTGCAGGAGACCCCCTCTTCCGGAGGAGAGACGGGGCTGGAGCGCAGCAGCGTCCCGGTGGGTCCAAACGTGGGGCCTCGGCCAGCTTGTAGGCGTGCGATGGTTGCAAGAAGTGGAAGGAAAACCCAGTAAGAGAAAGGAAGCGTTGCGGGGTAGGAGGAAGGCTGTCCCTGGAAAGCCGGTCTCTTTGCCGCTGTCCCCCTGCGTGTCTTTGCAGAAGGCAGTGCCCATCTCGTGTCTTCCTTCTGTTGTCGTGTACGTGCGTGAGAAGCTTTTCTGGTTCGGCGTGAGTGGGCGCGGTGACCAGCTTGGCAGGGGCTGGGTAGGTGCTTCTGTGGTGTTTGTCACCCTTTTGTAACGGCCCTGCAGTGTGTTGTGTCACTCCCCCCTCTAAAGCAGCACACCCTTTTTTCCTCCCGGATAGTTTTGTTCTCCCTGGAAGGGGGACGATGTATTGGCAACCAGTTGCCATCATCCCAGGCATCTGCATCGTCCTGGGCATGTCCCATGTCGGTGTCTTTGCAAAGTCACAAATAATCGATCGTCATGTAATTTTTCTCTTCTGTTGTTTTCTCCCTGAGCGCACAAGCTCAAGCAGCGTGCGCCGGGCAACTTGCAAGGCTCCGTGCTGCAAAGCATTGTGTCCCTGGCTGTTCTGCCTTGTCTTTTCCTCGCCTCTTGTTATTGTATGTCTGGAGAGGAGCAGAGGGGGTGACGAGCTTTCCTTGTCCCCAGGTCCCTCGGTGGGGCGGCTCAGGGCTAGGAGGCTGGGCGCTTAGCGGCGCAGAGCACACCGGGATAGCGGGCAGTCCTGAAGCATGTGTCGGGTTGTTTAACGCATTGTTGCAGCATGGTGAGCAAGGTGTGCTGAGACCCTGAGAAGCAACGTCCCCTTCTTGCTATCCTCAGGGGGGGGCTGGATGTGGTTCAGGGAGCCCCAGCCCCAGCGGTTTCTCTGGGGAGAGCGGAGGATGCCGGGCTTTCCCGGGAAGCGCGCTCTGCAGCCGCAGGGCCTTGCCGAGCCTCGCCGTGGGGCCGGCGTCGCAGGAAGGGCTCGTCCTCACCCGCTGTTGGTATCGGCAGTTGCGTCGGGTTCCCCTGAGCTGTGGCAGAGGAGTTCGTCCCTTCTCGGATGCTCGGCTCCGTGCCCACAACAGCCCCGATGTAGAGCTAACATTGGATGTTAATGAGCCTAACAACCATTTGTTCCCCAAAAAAGTCCGTGCTGTAAGTGATGAACATTAGCGTCTTTACCTGCCCATTAAGCCATCATTAGCGTTGCCTAGGAACTATCTCGGCTCTCTTTCCCACCGGCCTTCCTGGTAATCGGTGCCCCCAGTAACCCCATTTTTCGGGGAGATGGACACCTCCGGCACCACAGAGCTGCCCCGGCCTGGGTCCATCCTTAGGGTGGCTGTGCCAAGCCGGCTGCGCCAAGCCCCCGGCGTAGCCTGGGCTACGTGAACGTAGCCTCAACGTAGCCCAAGCCTCCCTACGGGTTTATGGGATTAAAATCTTAAATAGCGTGGGACCTTGGTCTGGCATCCGCAGATGCAGCCTGGATGAAAAGCCCCCCGAGTTAAAGACAACTTCTCCCTGCTGGCAGCTTTGAGAGCTGTCAGGTATTGGGTTTCTAACCCATGAGCAATGTTTTTTATGACTCATGCCGTCATGGCAGCGTTGGGCAGGACGCAGTGAAGCGCCCTGCCAAAGTCTTAGCCTATTTCATGATCCCTCTTAGCTTCGTCAGTCTGACTGTGACTCCCATCAGGGAATGAAACCAGAGTCCTTTGACCGGCCGTAATTTCCACAAAGCCACATTGATTTAATGATCCTTTCAGTCTTTATTAATTGAGTCCCCTCAGGGGGTGATGGTTCCCTAGGCTGCCCTAACCCACGGCAGACCCGAGGGGACCATGACGCGTGGTGGTCCCCTGTCTCCTGGCGCAGGGCTCCCTGGCACCGCTGGGAACAACACCCCCCCCTGTAACTGGCAGCAATGCTTTTGGCCCCACGCGCCACTATCGAGCGTCATAGGGCTGAGCTCGCCGGTCCCCAAGCAAACAGATCCTTCGGTCCGGCGATTAATGTGTCTTTATTTATTGTAATGAAACATGAGAGGGAAGTGGCATGCGATGGCTGCGCTACCTGTGGCATGAGAAACATCTCACCCGTGCGTTTTTGGGGGACCAATTTTGTGTGTATCCCCTTTTCCTGAGGCCAAGTGAGTGTTTTGGGGTTCTTCCCCCCCCAAAATGGATGTTTAATCCCTGTGGGTACCGTGACGTGAGCCTTTCCAGGGCCGTGCGACAGAGGCTAATGTAGCATACATCTTTTAATCTAATTTTTCAGGGAGGTCAACTAGTGCTTTATTTAACATGTAGCACTTGTTATAGGCCTGCCGCCTCATTCAGCGGCTCATTTGGTGCTGTCTGTGATGTGATGGAGTGCTCGGTGAAACCACATCATTTTGCGGAGTTGGGGAATAAAAAAGCCCTCCGCTTCTCGCCCGTCATGCGGTCCACGTGGCTTCCCAGAGGCTGGTGTCGGGCGATAAATCCATTTGGGATGTTGCAGGGTTATCAAGAGGGATGGGCACCGAACCCGCGCTGGAGGGGAACAGGAGGAGCACGGGGGAGAGCTGAACCCCCAAAATCCCCCAAATAGCAGCCCCTGCGCGTTGCTTCTTGCTCGGGGTGCAACTGCAGACTTTGCCGGGGCCGCTCCCAGGTCTCAGCAGGCGGCTCGTCTCAGCTCATGTAGTACTCTTCCCGGACAGGGGGACCGTGGCCCCAGATGACCAGGGCACGATTCGGGAAGCATCATCACACTTACTATCCCATCTGCTTGTTTTCCCTGGCCCCAGGTCGAGGGCAGGCTGAGCGAAGCGTCTCGAGCCTGCGTTTTCCATTGCCCTCTTGCCTTAACTTTTGCTTGTTCTTTAATTTTTAGAAGAGACAACTACCGCTCTGACACCCTGGAAAGGTCAGTAATTCGGGGCCCCTGCAAACGCCAGTGCTCCCCCTGCTCCGTTTCCCCGTGGGCCCCTCCAGCTCCCGCCCCAAGTTGTCCCGGCGGGAGCTGCAGCACACGCCACCTCGACCTCCCGCCCCACCACCCCACCGCTCCCGCTGGTATAGCGATGAATTAGGGCTTTCTCGCTGTTGTCTAGCTGCCCTCCCACCCTGCCTCCTCCCTGCCGGCCTACTGCGCCCATCTGGCGGTCGTCAGTGCCCTCTGCATGCCTTGTCCCCCGCTCCCTCCCCATCGCCGCTGCGCTCTCCTCCCTGTCACCGGGGCGAAAGCAGGAATGTCTCTGTGGTCCGCTTTCTCTGTGTTGCCGTGTAAATGGGTCTTGCGGCTGGTCCTTCCTCCTCTGGGATGCTTCTAGCACCTTTTTTCTGGGATGCGGTAGGGGTGGAGAGGTGTCCGGTCCTCTTCCCGGTGGCCAGGGCGGCTGGCGCTCTGCCATGCAATCTTATTGGCCGGCCAGCTGGCTTGGTGTCATCTTGATTTTGGGGCTTCATAGCCAGGCGGCTTCATTTGTGATGCATTGTGTGGTCAGCCCTCGGGATGACTTGTTGGGAGGGCTACGGAGGTAGCGCAGAGACAATCGTGTCTCCAGATCTGCCCTTGCGCACGGCTTCCTGGCCGTGCCAGGATTTGGGGGCTAAGTGGGAAGCATTGTGAGGTGTCCGTGAGTGTGTTGGAAGAGTGCTACTGGCGGGAGACCGAATGGTTAATGGTTCTCAGTGCCCCAGTCGGGCTTTGAAACGAGGGGATGTGTCCTGGGGTTTCAAAAGCGCAGGTCGATCAGACCTCGTGAGCAGCCCCGCTCCGGCAGGGCGCCAGCCTGGATGCCTTCCTGAGATCTTTTCCCAGCCCGGTGTTCCCCTGGGCCAACTGTTTGGGGTGTTTTGGTGAAAGCCACTGGGTCAGGCACCCTCCACATCCTTTCCCATGGTGAGCTATGAGCTCCTCACCCGCCGTGATCCCCAAAGGCGTGGATGGGCTTGGCTCTTCTTGACCACCCTCCTCGTCCCATCTCGTTCTTCTTGAGATGGTCTGGGCCCGTGGGCAGAGCGCGTTGTCAGTGGCGAGCCCCACACGGGCTCTGGGGAGGCGCAAAACACCGAGTCCTGAGTGTAGTGTTGCTGGTGGTCTCTCTACTGGGTGGGCAGGTGGTTATTGTGTCCCCCCCAAGGTAGACAAGTGGGGAACAACAGGGCGGTCGCCCTGTGCCCGGCTCACCGGGGCTGGCAGGGTGCGGGCAGTGTTGGGCAAAAGCTATCATTTCCCCTACAAGTGTGGCTGGAAACTTGGGCAAGTTTTGGAGGAGGGACAAAGGGCGTTGGAGGAGGTTGGTGGCCGGCGACGAGCATGGGGACTTGGGACGGGGACTCGGGGCTGAAGCGGGACCACCGGGGGTTGTGTCCCAAAGACCGGGGTCGGTGGGGCGGCTGGCGCCGTGCTCTCGAGGACGGCACGGGTGGATGGGGGTGCCCAGGGAGCTCTTGCACGGGGCAATGCCACCACGTGCAGTAGTAACCGGGGGCCCAAATGGTGTGGTTTTGTTGGGGTTTTTTGTTTGGGTTTTTTATGGTTTTTGTTGGCTTTGTGGCTAACCACGCGGGCATTTCTCTCCCTTCCCGCAGGCCCCGGCGCAGTGCACGATGGGAACAATGGCGCGTGGCGGCGGGGGCCGGCGACGCGGCGGCGGCGATGCCCACGGCCAGCGAGTGCGAGCAGAAAGGAGAGGAAGAAGAAGAAGAAGAAGTGTTCACTGTTTCCGAAAATAATCATAAGAATTGAGAGAGTATCCGGCCAGGCCACCTAGGGGAGGGGGAGAGAGGAAAAACACGCAAAAAACCGCAACGGGAATTTGGAAAGGAGAGAGGGAAAAAAAAAATAATCCAAGGCTTCCTGCTGTGAAGATGCAACGCGACTGAGTCTTTTTCTTTTCCCCCTGTTT